TGTGAGCGGCCATCCAGTGGCCAGCGACCAATTTGCCTCACCCGGGAAGAGCACAATGATAATACCAACATGGGTCAGTGAAGCGATGTCCTCCACAACTAGACTGAAGAACAAAAGGATGACAGCGTGTCTGTTTCTCTTCCCCGATTCCTCAACACTGTTCCCCTCCCCCAATTCCCCAATAAAATCTTTAAAAAGAAAAAAATACTTACTGCATTAGAATATATATTTACTAAAAAGTTAGACATGTAACTAGTAGTTTCTGCTAACCAGATTGCGTTTTCCTTTTTAAACTACATTTGTATAACTCTTAACATTTATTTATTTACTCATTAATTTATTTATTCAACAAATAATTATGGAGCATCAAATTCAAGCCAGGCACTTTTCTTGGTGCTGAGGTCCCTGCGCTAATGGACTTGTGTTCTTTTTGGGGAAACAGGTCATTAAATAAATAAATGCGAGTAAATTATATTAACAGGTTAGAGGATGACAGTACTCAGGAAAAAAGTAAATCAAAAAGGAAGATTAGGAACGCTTGGACTTGGCTGGGTTGCAACTGTAAATAAGATGGCGACAAAAAAATGAGTGGTAGAGGAAAGCCTCACTGCGAAGGTGACATCTAAGCAAAGGCCTGAAGGAGGTGAGGATGCAAGCGTTGCAGTGTCTGGGGAAGATGATTAAGCTCTGGAGATCTAATGCAGATCTCCGGTGATTACAGCCAGCAATATTGTATTATATACTTCAAAGCTGCTAAGAGACTAGATCTTAAATGTTCTCACCACATAAAAGAAATGACAATTGTGTGACATGACAGAGGTGTTAACTAGCTGTGGTGGTAATCATACTGCAATGTATAAATGTATCAAATCAACATGTTGTACACTTGAAATTTGTATACCAAAATAACGTTATATGTCAATTATATCTCAATTTTATTTTTTTAAAAAGGCATTATATGCTAACAATGAACACTATGAAAAGGAAATTAAGAAAATCCCATTACAATAGCATCAAAAAGAATAAAACATTTTGGAGTACACATAACCAAGGAGACAAAAAGACTTGCACATTGAAAACTACATGATACAGCTGAAAGACATTAAAGACATCCTG